CATTTGCTAAAACAGAAACCGGTTCTTTTCCGATTAAAAATGAATGGTGGCAGAAAACACTAACTGGGTTTTATTTGCTTTTTGTTGTGAAAGTTCCGAAGTGACTTGTACAAGGGCTTGAAGGTTTGATATATAAGAAATGACATGGCAGAAACTGAGATCCCACTGCAGTTGGTACTTTGGCTACAAAATAAGCTTCATTAATTGGCTGTTTGCAGAATCCTAGTGTGCAAGTTTTAGTTTGCTCTTTGCTATGCTTATTGCTCACATTTTCTTCAGAGTTCAATGTCAAACCCATTTTCAGACTACTGATTTATAACAAGCTTTTGTATGGTTTTGTTTTTGAAACAAGAAAGTTAGCATCAAAAATCATAATGCTGTATCCTAGCTTTAGCCCATAATGCCAAAGATGAGACCAACAGATATTTTAAATGAAATGTAAAATTATTAGATTGACACATCTTGTAGCTTATGATATACACAAAAATTGATCAGTTGCTTCCTCCTGTCATGTGGCAATGCCATTTTGTGTTGCACAGATTCCAAATGATTTTTCTTAATTGTACAGTACATAGGCCTATTCATAGACAATTGGGTTATATGCAGATACCTTCAGGTGATTGGACACTGGTCAAGTCAATCAGAGCTGTGGAAAAAGCCCCATATAACCCCTCCCAATCCCAGCAATCCTCAATATATTTCTAGTGCCCTGTGGTCATGGACTTCTTTCTACTGACAGGTTTATGGCTTCTTCTTGCTGGATTATTTCTTCTGTCAAGATTCAGGTTGCACTAAAGCCACTGCGGCCACCCACTTGCAGCTTCTGGATTGGTGCCCATCAGCATTGAGCCACAGGAACCATACCTGGGAACCCCATACGAAAAATGTGAGGCCATCCTCTGGCACTCTAGGCAGTGGAACCCTGTCCCGGAAGTCTGGGGGTTCTGTTCCCCGACTCCAGTGTAACAAAGTGTTTGGCTGGTAAGACAACATTTAGCCCCTTTTAGGTTTCCTATCCCAGAGCTTGTGCTCCTCCTATCCCTATTGGACTATTTGGAGCTTGTTCATGATTTTACATCCGCTTGCACTTCTGTCAGTGTAGAGAGGCTGCAATACTTTGAGATTGCTGTTGTCTTTTGTGGCTGCGACACTTTAAATTATATGTCAGCTTAACTGTTATGGCTGCATCCTGCCGATGGCTCAAGAAAAGTTAAGAGTTTTCCACGATTTGCCCTAGTTTGAGCAGTGTTGATCTGTTTCCCCAAGTTAGGTCGCTTTCTTTCGATTTCCCTGTTCCTTCCTGGGGGACCACCTATTCCTCCTGTTTAAGCAGGAAGGAATTTTCAACTTCCATATCACAGCTAAGACCTCCCCGTTACACTCTCTAGTAGAGGAAATTTTATACGAAGACTGGCCTCATCCTGAAAAGGTGTTCATCCCGTGCTAAGCATTTTTGCTAACAATACCCCATAGAGAACGGATACATTCAAAAGTGGAAGAGTCCCATGGTAGATCCTGCAATTGCCGGCCTTAAAAATATACTGGCAATTCCTGAGGAGGATGTCCTAGTCTTTTAAGGATCCAGTGGATAAGAGATTCAAAGCTCTGTTCAAGGCTTCATTTCCTCCAGTCAGTCTGGTCATGCAATCTGCTGTCATCTCTATGGATGCGAGTCAGACCTTGGTGAATAATTTCCAGCTGATTAATCTGGGGGTTAGTTGCTTTAGTGCTTTCTGAATACAGTAAGTGCGGATGTATACAACTCAAAAGTATGTCAAATGCAATATACGTTCATGTGCTCTTGAGTTGCTGTACGTTGCTTCTGGAATTGCGTTGTGTTGCTTCAAGATACTGTGAGTTGCTCTTGCATTGCTATTGACTTAAGCAGCTTGGTCTCAAACGAATGCCAATGTGCACAAGCTGTCAGGCAGGTTGACGGCCAACATATTTAATCTGTAGAGAGCACTGCAGTCTTGCTTTGTGACCCTGGGTCCTATATTTGACTTCCACCAGAAACATAATTTAGCAGCAGTTTGTATTGGTTCCCCTTTTATTGCTTGGATTCCCAGTAGCAGTTCTGTTTTGCCCTTCAAACCCAAAAACATGTTGGTAGGTTAATTGGCTTCAACCCAATTTAGCTCTAGTGTGTGTGTTTTTCTGTCTGACTATGCCAGGGTCATTAAAGCTCATTCAAGGTAAAAGACTGATGTGTATAGTTCTATGTAATTTGTACAGCATTGTGCAGTATATCCCTGCTACAAAAATATGTAAAATAAATCAAACTGCACACAATATACACTGTTCTTTGTAATGCACGTGCATATGCACAAGCTTCGGAAATTAAAATTTTGCTCTTTCATTTTAAAAATGTTATGACAACGTTGGGGCTGATTTGCTTTGATGTTACAAATCCAGTCTAGGGCAATGTTTAAATAATTGGACTCCCGCTGTAAATGTTAATTGGACTAGTAATTAAAGTGTTTACAGTGTTCTTGCTTTTGCTTTGTACGGCTTCAATTGGTTATAGATTCGGTAAGGGCCTTTGTGACAGGATAAATACAATTAAGAGCTTAACTGAATTAGTCTTGATATGCCAGTTTATAGATTCCTTCCTCTGTGCTACTTGCTAACACTGTTAAGAGGTGCCAGTGGATATAGCAGAGTATTCGGATTGGCAGACACAAATAAAACATTCTCTTACACCAGTAACAGCCAAAACTGCACTAAACCTTCCAGCCTGGCAGGCATCTGCCTGAAGCTGAAAATGTCAGGCATATCATGTCTGTGTTAACATAAAATATATGTCAGGGCAAAAAAAAAATGGTGGCCCAATCTACTTGTCTTGATACAAAAAAATAATTTTAACCAAAATCGTTTTTAACTGTGCCAAGTATTGCTTCTCATTGGTCAGCACAGGCAGGTCAATGAATGCTCGCAATTCGTGAGCGAAATTCAAGCTCCATGGCGCATGGCTGCACTGAATTCCAGTATGGGGTACAAATAGTAAACCCGTACCAGAGGAGAGGAATATTGTTCGCCGGAAGGTAAGTATACTAGGGTGACAGGTTCTCATTATGGAACCTACCCCCAATACAGTTGATGTGCTGGATCTTCTCAGCTCCACAGGTGACAGCTGAGACAGGAGCGCTGTCAGTACAGTGCCCCTGTGTGACTGATTGCACAAAGCAGATCGGAGAACGGACGTTCTCCACTCTCCATCCTGACATAATGCCCGTAGTCCCGGAACCTCCAGAAGAGCGGGGGACCATGAAAAAACCACGGCGGGAGGGACGGATCATAGAGGAGGCAGCCAGTACGGACAAGCAGGCTGCATACAAGTGATCGGAGCAGCTGTATAGCTGCACAAGATCACTTGTACAAAACGTCTCCCCTGCTTGACATTTAGACATGCTGCTTCCCTGCAGCAGGTCATATGGCATTATGACAGGTGATATTCAGGTCATTAGTGTAGATGTGATATTAATTATCCACACTCACTTAGACCTGTGTTGAACAGTCTTAAAGTGAACCTCCATGTACTTTTGCCCGGGGAAGCCTTGTATCCCAGGCACAGGCATTATTCAGAGTGAAATGTTGTACTTAGAAGGCCTAGATACTGTATCAGTAACACGAGGTACTGTATTAAAGCAATTTCATCTGAGCTGTATTTGTATCATATTCCAATGAGTTTTCCATTCAGTGCCCGGTACAAAAAAGCAATAAATTGCTGACCTTTTGAGAATTATCGCAAATTTCTGCTGATTCAAAGTAATGAAAGAAATGGGATGTCTGTTAAATAACCCAAAATTAAAACGATTTGCATTGATGTACGGTCTTCTCAGTTTTGCTTCAGAGATTTTTAGTCTATTTTTCCATGTGTAAGTACGTGCTTCAGATGATGCGTCCACATTTCATTTATCATAGAGTGTAACCATGATTAACTTTGGAAATAACATCTTTTTATTCAATTGCAAAATTCCATGAAACCTGTTTAGCTGAATCTCTATTTATGCTTAACACTGAATTTGGCATGTTCAGTTCAGTGGCAGCTTCAGTAAACACGCAATGAGAAAACAATACTTGCAATAATCAGGAAAGTAAGCCTTTTGTGGGATAAATATAGGGGGCTGCCTTTGCTGATCTTTTTTTTAATGATCGTAGTTTAGCTGTTCTGCTGACCCACTAGCTTTAGTGCCTGCTCTTTCTTTGAAAGTTAAATTTTGGGGTTTAATAAGGAGTTGCGCTAATATTGCGCAACATAAAAATTTTCAACTACCACCATTTTATTCTATAGGGTCTTGGCATTCAGAAAATATATAATGTTGGGGGGTTTTACGTCATTTTCAGGCCTAAAATGTGGAATATAACATGGGTGCAAAAATTGAAAAAAGGGCCTCAGTCATGAAGGGGTTAAAGTGAACCTGTGCACAGACTATGCCACTAAAGTATTATGTATTCTGAACAAGCTATAAAATACATTTAACCAAACCCTTATTTACCTCTGTAGCTTTAGGCAATGTGGAGAAATGAATCGTCAAAGTTCCCAACAGGGGCACTGAAATCACAACTTCTTTACCCTTTGCTTACTATTGCTACAGAATCTTGCAAGCTTGTCAGATTGCAAGATTGACTGAAACAGGTTAGGAGTTTTTATTGCGATTAAGGGGTCATTGATAATTACTTCACACTGCTTGCAGCTAGAAAGGACATTGATGGGTTGTTTTAAAGCTCCCTTACTGACGGTAAGAATATATAAATCTTTTAATGTCCATAGCCTGGGCATAGGTGCCCTTTTATTTGTTAGGGGTGGTGGGTTTGCTATTAAAGATATGGGGTAAGTGAGACATAGGGGACTAAATATTGTATCCATCTTGCACCACTTTGCAGCATTTTGTAAAATTTCACAGCTGCGACTGTTAAAACAGAAGTGCCCATTTTCTCCTTTTTTTTTTCCTTTCCATTGTACATGCTGAAGGTACATTTTTGTTTATTTCCTATAGAGGCCACAAGAGAAAATTGGATGTAGATGAAGATGAGGAAGATGCTGAAGACGATAGAGCAAGTGAGTCCAGCAATGAAGAGGAGGAAGGAAGCAGCTCGGAGGCAGATGAGATGGCAGCAGCGATTGAAGCAGAGCTCAATGATTTCATATGACATTTTTGTCAAAGAGGGAAACCATTAGTAACTTGTGTACTTGCACAATTAAACAAAATGACCTTTCATGTCTGCTACTTCAGTGTATGTACGGATTTTTTTCAAAGGCAGAAGTATCTTTTTGTATATTTTGATGGGAACATGTTATTTTACACATTTCAGGCTACTTCTTTTAAAGGTGTTTTAGTAAAAAAAAAACTAAACATTTTTTTCCATCTTTTTTCTTAACGGAGAAGTGTTATCAGAAAAGGTTGTGCTATGCCAAAGACGTAAAGCTTTTGTCTGAGCTTTCTAGACTTTGACAGGGGGCTGTGCTTTGTGTCTGTTGTTCGTTTTTAATTTTGTCTTGGTTTTCTGAAGGGGTTTGAGGGTGAGCACAGTCCAGCAGTGGACAAAAGCTCCATAACATGGGAAGGACACTTTAGTCTATATTTGTGTGCTTTCCAGGTATATATATATATATATCAAACATAAGACTTTTTTTTAAAGGAATACCATATATATATATATTTGTATAGATCTAGAAAATATGTTATGAGAAAATTGTAAATTTGACAGACTTGTCACTTGCCTCTAATGTCACTGAGTAAATTTCTTGTTTTTACACATTCCTCTGCACATTAGTTTGGATTTGTTAGAAAATGGTGATTAGATTTTTAACCTTGCATTACATGCAGTAGGGTTTTATTCAATTGAGAGAACTAATGTAAAGTTTTTGTATATTCTATTTCATATTTGACCCACAGAGCAGATTTTCGTTCATTTAATAAAACAAATCCATTTTGTATAGTTTAATGTGTTGTGTTGTTTTCTATAACATTTTGCTTTCAGTTTATCTCACAGAAATTGACAAGGACACTGCATTTCTGGAGCAATGGGTATTTTCTGTGCTTGCTAGAAATGTTCTTGCCCTGAAAATGCAGCTGCCACAGGGACTAGTAAACTGCAATATATATCAATCTTGTTTTTGGATTGGTTATAGCCCCTAACACTTATGTAATCCCCTAATGGTTTGCTTCTAGGTATCTGCATTGTATTTGTTTTCCTCTTTAGTAGATCTTAGTTAGTGATCCTTGTCCTTTAAGATAGATGACTTGAAATATATAATTAGTTTTACCTGAAGCATTACAGTTTAAGATGGAAGAAATTAATCTAGCATCCTACAGATAAATAAAACTCAGTGACACTAAACTCAGGAGTTTAAATCTTTAAAAAAAAATGCGTTCTGGTATCTTAACTATAGACATAAATGTATCTTTGTGTATCACTCCGCTGTAGATCCTCCAATCATCTCTGAATTCATGCTGACACTGTCCTTCCTTCTGGAGGGTGGGTACTTTTTGTTCCCCACATGGTCCCTGTGTGTGTTGTAAAGTAGCCACTGCTCCAAGCTCTCTCTCTCTTGAATGACTACAATCTCACATTTAGTTTACTAATTTGTATTGAGATTGTAGTCCATCACAGGATTGAGCTTGGAGCGGTGGCTACTTTACAACGCACACAGGAACCATGGTGAACAAAAGTAGCCACCCTCCAGAAGGAAGGGCAGTGTCGGCTCAAATTCAGAGATTTGATAGACAAGTTACATTTTTGTTAATAGAGTACTTGAATGCAATGTTAAGATTTAACTTCTGAGTTTAGTGTCACTTTAAAGCTGAACTCTGGGAAAAACTAATACTGGCTAAATACAAGAGGCATTTACTTGAATCTTGGTGTCCATTGTATATTTCTTCCAAGTCTGTGCAGTAGTCCAGCTTGAAACAACTTCTGCACTTTGCTTCTGTTCAAGAACGTCCTGTAATAAATACCAGTCACTACTGCACTTTCTTATGGGGCAGTTTTGTGCAGGTAGCCTGTAGTGGGCGGGCTCTCTGGATCCTTCTACAGCTTTACTCTCTGCGTAATTTATGTGCTGGTTAATTATGATGTCACTGTTACGTGTACATGGCAATGTCTGGGGTATTTGGAGCTCACAAAGTAAGCTTTATAGTCTTTGTGGCTATTGAGGAATATATTCAAATACAGTTTTGTCCCTGGAGTTTAGGTTTAACTTTTGTTTCAGTTGCAGCTGAAAACTAGGTTTGATGTAGTCAGATTGCACTTAGTAGGACATTTAAAGATGCAATTGCTGGCTCTCATGGAGCGGTACTTAAGTACTAAGGATTTTCTTCCGGGTGCAGTCCCCAATGAATCACTCTCCAGGAGTCAGAAGTCCACCAGTCCGGCTAAGAGCTCTCCTAGCCCAAAGGGGAGAAAAGATGATGTGCAGGCTATTGGCAAACCTGCTGTACAGCTCATGAACCCAACCACCTATTGGAGACACGACAGGACTGGGACCTGGTAGTGTGCTGGCATTGCCATGAACCAGGACACATGGCTCCCAGTTGTCCCCTTAAAACAAGAGCCTATGGAATACGGGCTTAATCAGCTAAGGTCTCTGGTTGCTACATTAGGAGGCGCTCTACAGAGACTGAGGGGATTGAGAAACAAATTTGTGAGATTAAAGTGGACTGTTGCAAGATCACTGCCTTGCTGGATTCTGGTGCTCATCTCACTCTAGTGCACTCCAGTCTAGTGAATCCCCAAAAGGTCAAACGACAGCTAATGGTGCTTGTTTGTATTCATGGAGTTACTACTAAGTGCTACGCTACAGCAGTTGTGTCCATTGAAACTGTGGCAACCGGGACCATGAAGTGGGAGTGGCCCACAGTCTAATGCTATATGCATTAGACTTCCCCTTTTTCTGGGATTTATGGGAATATGCTAAAGGAGCAAGGGCCAACCCTGTCCAGCTCCTATGGCCCGGAGCCACTGGACGAGAGTTTTTAGGAGGAGGTACATGAGAATTTTCCCCTGGAGGTCTTAGTTGATGCCAAGGGCCACACCGTAGAATTAGACCTACCAGACCTTCCCATGATCCCAGACAAGTTTGGCACGGCCCAGCTTTAGGGACCACACCTTAAGCCGGTCAAGGGAACAGGTAAAGGTTGTAAATGTCAGTGCCCCAAGAGCCGGGGGCAGAGACTATATTCCCCCATTTTGCTATGGAAAAATTCTTATTGTATAGAGTGGATGAGATATGGGGTAAGAAAATTGAGCAATTTCTTGTACCACAACCCCATAGACTCATGGTGTTAGACTTGGCACATTCTCATGTACTTGGTGTGGATAAAACTAAAGAGCGAGTGTTGCAACGCTTTTATTTGGTAGGCTTATACAAAGAAGCAAAATTGTATTGTGAGTCTTGTCCAGTTTGTCACCTCACCGCTCTTGTCTCCCATTTCACCCTGTGCATGAAGGTCAGCTTGAATTCGTCTGGTAGTTGATGGAGGTTCAGTTTATCCACCATTCGAACAATCCTTCATTGCAATCAATTGTTCTCTTTCGTCCACGTCTGGGGAGGCTAACTAAAGTGCCACGGGCTGTAAACTTCTTGACAATGTTACGCACAGTGCACACAGCAACATTATGATCTCTAGAGCTGGACTAGTGACCATGAGATTGTCCATTCCTTGAAAAACTTGGAATGCAATTATTTCTTGCAATTTGGAGAAGGTGCCAATAATTTTGTCCAGTCCATTTTTGGAGTTTTGCGTGGAATGTGTCAGATTTGGCTTTTTTTCTCTACTTTTTTGTCATACCAATACAAACAAAATAAATAAACATGAGAATGCCTAAACATTTGTAATTGCAACAATATTCTTCGCAAAGTGGTGCATTATCTGACAGAAATGCAGGGGTGCCAATATTTTTGCCCATGACTGTGTATGTATATGTATGTGTGTGTGTGTGTGTGTGTGTGTATATATATATATATATATATA